CACCTCGGCATCTCCTTCAATATCGCGTTTACGAATCTCCAAACGATCCACAAAAACAGGGTCCCACCGATAATAATCCCCCATCAACTCCATTAATTCCTCATCCAACCTCAGGTCAGACACAGTCCTACTGCTGCTGCCCGTACCGACGTTCTCACCACTCGCCGCCATAATCAGAGCTCAGAAAAATGAAATAAAGGAATTACGAAGTGAAAAGAAGAAATTAGGGCTTACCGAAAAATGATGTAAACTCTTGAAGGTTTCGAAACTCGCTGAAATACGATGAAGAAGGTGAAAAGGAAAAAGAAGAAGTATGCAAAAGATAGGTTGAGAGAACAATTGCTTAAATGAAGGTTTAGTGAATAGAAACCGTGAATTTATCCGTATATATACGCTCGCAGTTTTCTAACCGTTGAAGATGGAGAGGCGCGTGGTTAAATGACGCGTCGATTCAGAAATGCCCCTTTATTGTGACATGACGTTCAAATACAATCTCGTACGTACGCGTGTCCCAAAGAACCGTCAACGTTAATGTCCGAAAATTTCGGTACGTGCCTACTGTGAAGAGTAGTGGACACACCACGTTCGTGACCTCTCGTAAACCGCATAATAAACTTCTCACAGTACAAGACGAATTTGGTAAAGGAACCAAACTATGCGATTTTTGTCTAAGGAAAGTAACTCGGCACAAATTCGCGAAAGAGATCTTTAGATCAGCTCGGGAATAAAAAGCAATTGGAGGGAAAGTGTCATCAAAAAGTATGCATAATTTGCATACTTCTTAATGCCAGGGGCCTCTATGTTGATATAGAGATAAAATATCTCGATGTAAAGATATAATTAAAGAAATCGTGAAAGATTGATGCATAAACTGGATTCTGGACGACGTCAAGCAGCGCATGTTGCAGCTCGGAAATCTTACTTCGGTACCAATAGATGATCCCTAAGGATTTTTGGGGGGAGTTATCAACCCAAGTCGTCTGGACCTTGGAAAAACCCAAGTCGGTCAAAGAATTATTTATTAACAAGTCGTAGAATATTGAAGACCTGGCAAAGTACCGACTTCGCAAGGCAAACCGAACTCATTCCGACAGATGTGACACTCGTCACACAGATAGAGGCGCGCCCATACTAATCATTGCCTACAAAATTCCTTTACGTCATCGCCGCCCCTAAAATGTCAAATCCTAATTAAAACGGGAATGATTTGTCTAGGGATGTGTGCCAGACATACCTATAAATAGCAGCTCCAAAGACGAGAGAAGGGTTCGAAAAAAGATCATACACACTCATATATTCACCTCGGATATTTCATTGTAAACCGACTTGAAGTATACTGAAAGACCGACCTCTTTGTACTGAAACCGACTTCATAATATTCAATAAAATTCTCATTTTCTACCATCTTTTGTGGGAAATTTATGTTATTAACGTTGATTTAATCCGTTTATCAACACACATATTTATAACTTCATTGTATTTCTTAAAAATATGTTCGTTTGATAAGCTTTCGTCAACAAAAATGCTATGTAATATGCTACAAAATTTCAATTTATATCAATTTTTTTAACCAAAAACACTTATTTTTTTCATAAATTATAATTGTTGAACTTAAATTATAAATACATGAAATTTTATTTTATTTTTTAAGTTTGAGGGTGATATAGATTCTAAGTTTTTAAAACTTGATGATGCACATTTCGATATTTATATTTATAATAAGTGTATTTATATATGAAATGAGTGTTTTGACTTAATTTACAAGTTCATTATTTAACATTTAAAATCGGACCTCCCTAAAAGAAATTCCTAGATCCGTCACTGATTTTCAAGCCCTTGAGAATTAAGAAAGATCAAGCTCTTATATTTCATTCTTAACAATTTCAGGAATAACTATCAAGCACAATAATCTGATATGGATCGCGAGGTCTGATGACTAAAAGAGTTCCAATTCCAACAGTTTTCACATGGGAAAATTAAATAAAAAAAAATATCAAAAAAACACATGACAATTTGATAACAATATTTTATCTGAAGTAGAAACTAAAATCTCACCTAAAATTTAATAAATAAACTTTGTAGTAATCTTTTTTGAAAATTATAAAAAATATTCGTCTCTAAAAAGTAAATAACCAATTTATGGTATATAAAGTTGACAAAATTAATAAATTTGGTTTTGATATAAAGTGGACAGTTTTATTTAAGGTATCAGAGCCATTATTATTTTTTATAGGAAATGCGTTGTTATAATAAATGTTTGAATCTATACTTATATAATAAGGGTACCATTTACGAAATTTAGTAAGTTGAAAAGTCAATGCAATAAATGCATTACTATTTTGAGCAATATAATATAATATCATATCTATACTTATATAAAAGGAGATTCTATTTACTACATTTATTATCCAGAAAAGTCAACTGCATTAAATGTCATTACTATTTTGGTATTATAATATTTTATTTATTTAATTGATTTGTTTATTTGTTTTATTTTAAAAAAGTAAGTATAATAAAAAGATTTTAATAATAAAAAAATCAAATACCAAATAAAAATATACACTTTGACTTATTTGATTATATTTGATATTTAATTATACCAAATATATTCCTATTTAGTATATACATTAAATACTTACTAAAGTACTTATTTGTTTTATTTGTCAAAATTAAGTATAGATTTGTTTATATTATCAAATCATAAAAAAAATATTAAATTCATATTGTAAAAAAAAATAAAAAAATCATATAATATTATAACAATTCTACTACACTATTTAACAATATTCTTTTTTTATTATATAATAAAATAATAATTAAATATTATTTAGTGAACAATATAAGTAAAACTGTTACTTTCTCTTATATCAAGGGATAAAATTATATGCTAAAATTAAACTTTTATTAGTATAAATGTTTTAGTGAGATAATATATTAATTATTTTACAAGCTAGCTCTAATATGCTCATATTTAATTTTTTAAAAGATGTAGAAAAAAACTTATAATAACTCTATTGTTTTTTAGACTTAAACGTTGATTAAAAGAGGTAAAAATTCCTAATTTTTTAGACTTAAACATTGATTAACACCATAGATTGAGAGTTTATATTTAGTAAAATTCCTAATTGTAATAAAAAAATAATTTTAGCTATATTTTAGAATATCTTTAAATTCATTATAAAAAAAAAGAAAAAAAAACTATAATGAAAAAAGCAAGTCAGCTATATATCGATTTGTTGTACTCCTTAAATCACATTCACAATTTGGCTATAAGGAAAGGAAACTCATTGATTAAAATATTATTTGTCAGTAGTCTTAATGTACAAGACACTTTAAGACTCCACTTGAATATTATAAAACTTTTATTGAACATTGTACAATTTTCTTGCGTATTATAAACTTTTATTGAATATTGAACCTAATAATATAATATTCTCCAAATAAATATATCTCGCGCTTCGCACGGGTCACGTACTATATATATCCCGTACATTTTTCTTTATTCATGTATATAATTATAAACCTGGATAAATAGCCTTAAAATTGTGCACTCCGTGCATCGCACGGGCTCTGTACTAGTTTATGGTATAAAGTGGGCGATTTTACTTTGGTATTAAATGTCTAAATTTAAATGTTATAAATTTTATTTGGCATTGATAGAAGTGTATTTGGAAATTTTGAAAATAAAATAAGTAGTATGAATTTTATTTGGTATTAGTATGAAAGTCGAATTTAGGTTGATTTGTTATAAAATGATGTGAGTCTCAAATTTTAATATACTTCTATAGTAACTTGTCATAAGATATTGATGATAATTCAACAAATTGGTATATATTCCTTTTGATAATCAAAAAAATCTTTGAACAAATATTAGTTAATGAAATTTAAAATTTATAATTTAATTCAACAGAATTAGTTGATAAATTTGAACGATAAAGTAACTGACAACAAATCTCCAATATATATATATAGGGGCTGGTTCAAATAAAAACTATGTCTGGTGTGAGAACCGTGAGAACCATATTTGATGCTATTTTTAATTGTGTATGATGCTATTTTTAATATTACATGGTGCTATCATTTTCATAAATGTTAATAAAAATTTTGTTGCTATTTTTAATCAAATACATCCTAGTTAAAAATAGCACTAAAACACAATTAATCATAGCACTACATACAATTAAAAATAGCGGTTCTCACGGTTCTCACACTAGGACTTGGTTCTCATTTGAACCACATCCTATATATATATATATATATATATATATATATATATATTAAATTTAGTTAATAGATCTAGAAAATTGAGAAACATACATATATATATGTATGTATAAATGAAATGTATAAGAAAATTTACTGTGTAGTTCAAATTTGAGTTCTAAAATTAAAAGTCAAATAAGTAATTATTCTTAACTTACGGGTTAAATATTAAATTTGACGTAAATCGCATAGTCAATTATTTTTAATTTAATAATTAAATTACTCACCTACTTTTTTTTTTGGTACAAGAAAGGAGGCTATGCAAAGCCTAGACTAGCACCGACCGAGTATAAGACACTCCAACTCGATCGTGATGCAACCTACTTAATTTTTTTTATTTTAATAGTTTATACAAAAATAAATCCATTTTAATCAATGAAACAATATAAATTTTATAATTATATTTATTATTCACATGGATTTTTAAATATACGGTAAAATTTGACCAAAATAATTATTTTATGACACCAGTCAAATCGAATTTCAGAATAAATTTTTTTAAAATGATACTTATTTTGAAATGAATATAGTATAATTTATTATGTGCACGAGTTGTGTACTGATTTTAATTAGACATTTTTATGTAATTTTTGAACAATTTAAATTTCATACAATGTTTTTAATAAATTAATATAAATAAATTGTAATAAATACTAATTCTATATTTTTAATTTATAATTATTATTTAATTAATATTTTTTAATTTATAAATATAATGAATATCTTACTGAGCACTAGTTTGAAAAACAAAAAATGACTTCGAAAATCTCAAAATCTCTCCTATACCATATCTTGACAAATAACTATTTACACATTTGACAATTTAAACCAGATTTTTTCGGATTTGTAATGAGATTTGAGTAGAGTCCCCAAAATCTCAAAATCTCTTTAATTAATCATTCAACATTGACATGGAAAACATCGGTCCTCTGTTCGATCTTCGGCACAAACACCTTGAGCACACCTTTCTTCATTTCGGCCTTTATCCCGCTAGTATTGTACATCCTCTCCTGTAGATCTATTACGCTGCTGTACGTGTACCTCCTTCCGCCGCCATCTTCTTCATCCTCTTGGCATTCCTTCTTCTTCCCCTCGATGGTCACAGTGTTCTGCTCCACCGACACCTTGATGTCCTCCTTCCCCAGCCCAGGCATGTCCATTCGCAGCTGGATCCAATCCGCAGTCTCCCGAGCATCCCAATTCCTCAGGATCATCCTCGATCTCGCGGGAGATTTCACGAATTCATCCAATTTCAGGATTTTGTTCAGGCTGTTTCTTTTGAGATATGGACCAAATATGTCTAAATACAGAAATTGAAGGAAAAGTTACGGAAACCCTAATTTTTTTTTTTTAAATCGAAAAACAGGGAGGGAATATAAGCAATCGAACAACTACCTGAGAAGGTGCAGAACACACGACTCTCTGGAAGGCTACCCACGTCATCGCCGTCGTTCTCGCGGACAGCATTTGTGCTGAAGAGTCGGGAGGCTGCAGGCCGAGCCACGGCTGACCTATGGAGGAGGTTAGAGGCGACCAGCCTCTTCAGAGCGACAGAAGACGCCATAGCTTATCCTTAATTATAGGAGGGGATAAAGAAGAAAAGGGCGTTCGTTGTGATATTTGAGACGGTTAAAAAGGGGTATTTAATATTTATAATGAGGTGGAGTAATGGGCAAGGTTCAGAGGGTGACTTTGGGCACAAGTAGGCACTGGGATATTGTGCTTATTTTATTTTCCAAAAATATATGGTGGTTGCAAGGGAAAATACTGGGAAAAAATAATATAAAAATCTNTTATGGTTACATTCTGCAGATTTGAAGATACATATGATAGATTTGAAGTGTTTTTTATGTCAACTTATAATTTAATTAGATATTGTTGGAAAATCAGTTAAAAAGATTTGAGTTGACCCGATTTTGACTGAATTTTTATGGCAAAATATTTAATTCGGGTTGAATAAAATTTTATAGAAAAATTTTACGTTCCGAGTAAATACTCGTGGTATATTTGTTTTTTCTCAAAACTGATTGAAAATTATATGAGAAATAAATGATTAATGAAATTCCAAAGGTAAGAGTTCTTTTTCACATTGAATCCTTACATAAGATTAACTCTCTTTATTATAATAAAGAGAGATTGAGAAGTCACAACAACAACAACAAGAAGGCTATGAACCAAGTGTTGGTGTTGACTTTGACCACCCGCACGCTAGTAGACCGACCAGATCGTGTCGGGCTCGAGCACAGGGCTGAGACTTGGGACTTCGGTCTTGTGCCTTGGTCCTTGGTCATTGGTACTTGACAATTGAACTTGAGTGGCCTTAGGCGGTCAGGGTCGGTATTTGGGCTTGGTGTAGGGCTTGGGCTTGAACCCAATCACTATATCTCTTTTTTACTGCAAATTGTAGAACTAAATTTACAATTTTATGCTTTTTCAAATTAATGATTAACAAAGATAGTCCCTTTAATTTTGACGTCCAAATTGCAATAAAAATAAAAAATAAAATAGAAAATAACTAATTTTGTAACTTTTGGAACTAATATTGCAATTTAGCCCAACTATAGGGACCAAATTCGCATTCTAGCGCAATTTCGACGATCTATCATCAGAACTAAAAACTGCTCTGGTACACATTGAGCAAAATTTCCCAATCCTCAATCAATGGCGTCTACCGCAAAATCCCTAATTCAGACCCTTCGTCGCTACATCAAGAAGCCATGGGAGTTCACGGGCCCTGTGGCCCATCCTGAGTACGTCTCCGCCGTCCCCAAGGCGACGGAGTACCGCGTCTTCTGCCCCGCCACCGCCTCCGCCCAAGCCATCGTGCCGACTTCGCTGCCGGAGACGGTCTACGACATCAAGTATTTCTCCCGCGATCAGCGCCGAAACCGCCCCCCGATCAAGCGCACCGTCTTGAAGAAAGCCGACGTGGAGAAGATGATGAAGGAGAAGACCTTCGATCTGGGCGACTTCCCCAGGCCGTACTTGACTGCGAAGGTTGTCGAGGATGATAACGCCATCGGCGGTGGATATCAGAAATAAATCCTAGGGTATGTTTCTTGTTGCTTGATTATCTGAGGTGTTTTGTTTTAGAGCAAATTTGGGCTGTGTGGTGTTGAGTCCAAGAGTGTAGAATGGTTTAAAGTACATAGTTTTGCAGACATTTTCGAGTTAATAATGTAATGATTTGCCGATTTCTGAATGATGAGATTGTGTGGTTGGATTCAATCTGCTAGTGTAGAATGATTGGAGAATGCTTGAGAGCATGTGGGATTTGATTAGCAATTGATATGTCTTCCTAAGAGCTTTTTAGTGTATAATGATTGGAGGATGCTCGAGATCAGTCGTATTTGATTAGCAATTTATATCGTCTTCCTAAGAGCTCGGAATAATATGGTGTGGCCAACTTATGAGTATGTTTTACCATTCGCTGAAATAATTGAGTTTGTAGATATTGATCATCTTTTTTTTTTTTTTTTCTTTTTAAAAAGGAGGATCAATAGTGTTCCCACTTCCCCTCCTCGGTGACTCGAACCCATGACCTATGACCCATAGGTGAAGCTTTCTTACCACTAAGCTGCGCTTCGATGTCTTAGATATTGATCATCTTAACTTTGGATTTTTTGGTGATATTGAATTGTGTAAAATGGTTATGATTGCCCCTCCTTGGCCTGATCTATGCAGTTCATATATGTTTAATTTTTGTTGATTTTTGTGTAGCAAGAAGATTGACAATTGCGTAATGTTGATGAACTGAAACTTATGATGTTGGTATGTGGGTTAAAATGGTATCGCTTATATACTTGCTGTCATATATGGTTGCAGAATTTGACCATGTGATGTGATAAATGTCGAATGTCGTTTAAACTGCTTATTACCCTAAGTTGTTGGAGTACTGAATGAACATATATTCAGTGAGTCACAGATATTTAATTAAAATTGGGGTTGGATTGTCTGAACGAAAAAAATTTATGGATTGGGTTTTTCCATGAAGTTGGTCCTCACCAAGTTACTTAAGGCTACGTTTGGCTTGAAGGATTTGTTGAGGGATTTGAAATCTATAAATTTTAAATTTACAAGTTCAAATCCCCATGCATGTTGGGATGGTAATGGAAGTTGGAGGATTTCAAATTCATGCTAGATATTTTTAGTCATTATTTTGAAAGATTTTAAATGACTCCTCAAACCTAGTCATTTGAAATCCACTGTTTATCACCGTTGATGACCACGCCGTCCGCGATCAATTAGGTTCATCACCACCGCGAGTCAACACCATCGGTGCGAGTTAGACAATTGATTTATAATATTTTCAACACATCCGTGCAAGTAAAAAGTTAATATTTCAAAAATTTTGAAATCAATGGATTTCAAATCCCTCAAAACAAATGTGGCCTAAGATTAGTTATTCTTGATTATTCAGTTCATACTATCATCACATTAGTTTTCTAGGTGTTTTATCAATTCTGTACTCTGTCCTCACTGCCAAGTTCATGTATACGTTTTTTTTGTAATGTGTATCTTTTTTGTTGCTTGGTACAGCTGTGGATTATGATGATCATGATAATCATGATAAAGTTTGCCTAAAACAAAAGCCAAACACAATCCAGTTTTAAAGTTTCCGAACTATAATAAAATAATGTATGTTGGGTATTTATCCAACCTGAAGCTTGTGCTTCATTGGTGTCATGTGTCTTTGACTAAACACTTTGAGTTCTACGTACCTCATTGCTCATTTGGAATCTGAATTTGAACCGGAATCCCCGTTACTTCCAAAATTAAAATTGGAGGAAAGACAGGCTTACACTGGCATTTCTTCTGATATCACAACCTACGTACCTGTCTTCATGAACCATAAGGCACCGAACTACACTACAAATTATTATCGATCCTTTACTTGTGTAACTAAGTGGTTACTGTTATCCTCCTTGTACTGCATTTATTGGAGCGAGTGTTTAATAACCAACGCTGATATTGATAGTTGGCTTTGAGGTGTGTGTGCCAAAATATGCAGTCTTGCTTCATTGAGAGTGATCCAAACTGTACAATGTGTATTGAACTATGTCCAGTGAGTCACAATTATTTGATTAAAATTGGGTTGGATTGTATGAACTTAAAAATTAAGGATTGGGTTTGTCCATGAAATTTGTCCACACCAAGTTACTTAAGACTAGATATTCTTGATTATCCAGTTCATACTATCACCACATCTCTTTTACTAAGTGATATTATATATTCCATACTCTGTCCTCACTGCCAACTCCAATTATACTTTTATTTGATTGTTTTTGAATTCCTCTCTTTTTTGTTGCTTGGTACAGCTATGGATTATGATGAACATGGCAAGGGTTTGCGTAAAACAAAAGCTAAAACACAATACAGTTTTAAAGCTTCTGGACTATACTAAAAGAGTACTTGTTTGCGATCCATCCAACTTGAAACTTGTGCTGCATTGCTGTTATATGCCTGTGACTAAACCTTCTGAATTCTATGCACCTCATTTGGAATCTGAAATTGGACCAAAATTCCTCGTTATTGTTCCAATTTAAATTGGAGGAACCACAAGCCTATATGGCCACTTTTTGTCCTGATATCACAACCTATGTACCTGTCTTTGTACTGCATATTATTATCGTTCCCTTGCTTTTTTAACCAAGTGGCCAACAGTATCCTCCTTGTGCTGCATTTATTTTGGAACAACTGTTTAATAATCATTCGCTGATATTGATATTTTTGTTCTGAAATGTGCAGTTTTGTGGGCATTGAGAGGGGCCCAAATTTTACAATATATAGATTGAGTTGTGTTTAATTGGTGGAAATTGTCGTCTTACCTGAGTAGGTGATGAGTTTGAACTTGCAATACCGACATGTTTAACATTTGGAAGCTTCAGTTTGCTTTACGAGCGGCCTTCTCATCTCCATTTTCTTGTTTCAGATTGTAAATTTCTGATTTAACAATATTCTGAATGAGCTCGTGGTTATTTTCTTTTTGTAACAGGCTTATGAGTTGTGAAGCTAACTGGGCTGCTTAAAGAGTTAACAGAGGTCAGCCCAGTTTCATGTTGTGGATTTTTTCACCCTACCACTTTGATATTTTCTCATCTTCATCTATGTATCACATGTGGAGACAAGAAGGTGTATGACATTATGTGTATCTCGGTACTAAATTCTCTCCAATAATGTAATGTTTGCTTACTCGAATATTATATTGTTAGTCGACAATGTGAGAAGTGGCTTATTGATTCTCGTTTGTTCTGAAGTTTGAATGGATGTCTTGACGGCTCTTGAAGCTTTGTTCAGTGCTGAAATGTGAGTTGGTTTTTATAATTAACATAGCGCGGATGGGCATCTAAGGTGATAGCATACGTCCTCATGAGTCATGGCGCTCTTCAACTGCGTATACGAAACCTATTACGGCTAGTGCTGTTAAATTAAACGAGCTTGGCTCGTTAAGGCTCGAGTTCGGCTCGTTTGATAAATGCACGAAGCTCGAGCTCAGTTAAAGTTTGTTTGGTTAAGGGGCCGAGCTCGGTTTGACTCGATAAGACTCGAAAAGAGTATTTTTATATTGTTTATTTATAGTTCGACTCGTTAAAATTCGAGATTAGCTCGTTAAGGCTCGAACTCGGCTCGTTATTAGTGATAAACGAGCCGAGATCGAGCTAGATTTTAGGTTCGTTTGTAGGC